AATGCATGGCATATACTTTATCAAATTTCTATCTGTTTATCTCTGAAAAGTATACCATGGTAAGAGAGAAATAAGAAAAAAAATCTGTACGGCCAAGCTTTAACCTAAGGCAACGTGCAAATCTCTCCATGATGATTTCACAGCAGTGAAGGAAGAAGAAGGGAGACATCTCAATTCCAAACAAGACATTGGTCTGCCTAATACTGATGTCCTAGGGATAATTATGCCATCCTGATTATATTAAAATGCAGCAGTAATTTATCTTAGTCATATGATTGCTGGAACTTTCATCTGTTTGTTCTTATTTGTTCACATACTCATGCTCTAAAGAAAAACCTCTAAGCACCACATAGTGTGTTTCCAGCCGCTGTAACTGCACACAGAGGTGTCCACACAGAGGGATTCTGTTTCCAGGCTGACACCTAAGTCCTTTGCTATTTCTGATAGCTCAATTAATTGCTAAGTCCAGCATGTTTGGCTTTATTTTCAGTAAGAAATGGGTGAACTAGTCGCTGAATGTATTAGATACATTGCACTTCACTGGGGACTTCTGTGCCCGCTCCTTAGCCTAGGAACAGAGTATGTGCAAGGAAGACAGGCACTTCCCTGCAAGTAAGAAATTGCTTCAGAATTGCCAAGCACATTTACCTTGGTGCTTACAGGTGGCAGAGGCTCTACTGAGGCTCAAAATTTCTTTTTTTTTTTTAATATATATATATATAGCTCATACACATGTCAAAGAAACACTATCACTATGCGCAAGCTGTAAGGTGTATCCCTGCCAATGCTATTAGACCACAGTAAACAAAGAAAACGTTTGTCTTCTGCCCATGATATGAGGGCTCTCCATTAACAGACACAGCTGAGGTGTCGCTATGTAGAAAAATAACATATTAGTTAATGAGTATGTGAAATAAATGGAAAAAAACCATACATTTGGAGAGATTATTGGTGTGCATGTGAGGCTTGCCCCTCCAGTGGAGACAAATGTGAGATGCACGTACAAACAAAGCGGGGAACATCGGCTATGCCGAGCAGAGAACGGCCAGCGTGGAACAAGGTGGAATGTGTGCTGAATTCAACAGCAGGATCACAGACGCCTGCGGCAACTGCTCTCAATACATTACAGATAGATCAAAGAAAAATAGAATGCTTTGATAAGAGATTAACAAGTGCCATTCTCATATGCTGCAATTAGGAAAGACATCACATTTTAACCCCTTAACCAAGGTATTATTTCTAGTGAATTATTTATGAAAGACTTTTAGCACTCAGGAATAGACACGGCTTTTTTCACTGTCTTCATTCTGTTACACTCAGGCACCAAACAAACACACAACCATTATTTTTATACATGTGCTAATAGTTCCACTATGGGGCATGGGTCTGGAGGGGGACGAGGGGGTTGATCAATTTTAGCAAGATTGTGTGGGATGCCGCAGCAAAACAACTGGAGCTACCCGAGTTACTAGCTAAGTATCTACACACTTCTAATAAAGAGCAGAAAAGCAAAATTGAATGTGCTTTCATCTATTTCCTATAACCTTTTATTGCCCTCAAAGGTAATGCATACATGCACATGACTTCTTTTTACAACCTAGTAAAAAAAGTAGTTCTTGGAAAGGTCAGTGGAAAATAAAGCCTTAAATAAAGTCATAAGTTCTGACAAATGAGAATTTCTTTCCATCATCTTATCTGAGATGTGAAGGCTGGATTTTTTGTTAACTTGCAGCCAGCGTGGGAAGGTGCATTCTGACTGTCCCCTTTCAGCGTCTGAACCCTGGGACTGCCAAGCTATTTGCTGATGCCTGATGCTACCTTCGGAGCACAAAGGACAGAATTTTCCCAAATATGAGCACTTTGATGTAGTAGTTATCTAAAAAAAATGTCTTTGGGAAAAAAAAAAGCCCTTCACAGGACTACTTCACCATTTTGAAAAATTGGTTCAGACAGTAAAAGCCAACTCTTGCATTGTATCATTACAGCCTCATGTTTTCATATTCCAGAACTACTTCATCCACACATTTTCCATCTAATGGCTAAATCTGCCATTTTCTCCCACTCATTCCTGGTTGTGCAGCTCATAAGGAGAGAGCCATCCGTGGCTGCAAGGTGCATGTGGTACTTGCCTTTCCTTTCTCCATCAGCTGGCACTGGCAATTCTGCCATTTTGCCTGTAACGAATTCCCTGGATTGTCCACCTTGGGGTGTGTGCTCCAGTGCAAAGCCTGGAGAGCAACTCTTACCACACAATCCTCTCCCATGAGATGATGCCTTCATCCCCTCGCAGACAGTTTATAGTCACCCAAGAAGATGGGCACAGGCAAGTGAGACTGTTTCTCCACTTTCTCAATTTTCTCTTGCTTTCCTCTGGAACAAGAAAGGAAGTATATATCCACATTTCTTCACCATGAACTTCAGTGTTACATTTGGATTAAGGCTGTCTTGTATCTTCCTCCTCAGCACCCTGTAGGGAGGAATAGGAAAGTTCTCTGTTGTTCCTGCCACTCTGTGGAGAGAGCGACACACTTGGCTTTTGGCCATTCTCAGATGGACTGAAAAGACGCAAACAACAAAGCTTATAGAAAAAATCTTGCACAGTACTTGAGCTAGATATAAGGGTAAAGAACTGGCTTAGCACAGCCTCAGCAAGAACTGGCTACTCACTGGCTAGTGACTTTTCTCATTCCTTAATGTGACTGAGTACATGTTGTGAAGACTGCAGCACAGTCTCCCTTCCAATTGTCTCTGGTGCAAGGGTGCCTATGCTGAGATATAATAGCTATGGAGAAGGGTTTGGGTGTTTTATCTTGCCAAGTAGTAACTCAACACAGGCCCAAAGAAACCAATTTAGATTCCAATTCCTCTTTCCTTCTCTTCAATGAAGTCTGCAATTTTTTTTTTTTGTCTTAATTCATCTAGTATATATTTGCCTTTGATTATAAGACTGTAAGGTTTTTTTTTCTTTCCATCTTTTAGCATTTTTATCATATGCATTCTACATGTACCAATCTATCAATTTATCAAAAGAGAATTTTCCCTCTGTGTTTGCAGGCACGGAAGTATTTATCTTCTATCCCCAATAGGATGTCCAACATAATTCGATGTAATGCAATTCCAAAGTTGCATCAATCCTCTTCCACCCTCATTGGAATTATGGCAATCATGGGAAATATTTGATAAAAATAGCCTGAATACTAAATCAGAAGTATCTTAGTGCCAATGAAACCTTATCTGATGAAAGGAGGGAGAAAAGCTTTTCAACAAATTTAATCTGAAGCAGATTTATGCTTGTACATTTTAATTGCAAAACATTAAAAAAAAAAAAGTTGTTTTTTTCCAGGTAGTGGTGATTTTTAGAAGCTCTTCCACTTGTATTTCTAACCTTACAGAGGTTTCAATACATGCGAGAGAGGCTTCTGAGCCTCAGTGCCTGTATGATGCCAGTGGTGTGACATAGTATAGTTTCGCAAAGAGACAACAAAATCCATTTTCTATCAAAATATCCTCATATTTTTAAGCAAAATCCACCCAATTCTTTCACGTCTTGATTCCCTGAGCTCCCTTTTACACACGAGATACAGGCGCCTCACTGAGGTAGCGCGACTGATTTGCATCTGCAGACCTCGCCAGCCAGAGTCTGGTGCCCACAAAGCAGAGAAGCAACTTTTTGTTCTTCCTGAGAACCCAATTTATTTCCCACAGTGAAAAGGATGAAAGGCGACCACAGGCAAGCCTGCCTGGGACAAAGGGGAGAGGGTTAACTGAAGCTTTATCAAGAAAGAATAAGACTCTCTAAATGCAATGAAAGCCCCTTCGTGTGGTTTGACGCAAAACAGACCTTGTTAAATAAGTCTCTTTCTACAGGTTGACGTGTCTGGTTGAGGCCAATATTCACACTACTGCAGTTTACTTGGGTCTTGCCAAAGCATTTCATGTCACAACATATGACGGCATGTTTAAAAAGTATGCTTTATATGGAATTAAAAGGATGCACTTCAGAAGAACTGAAAACTGGCTCACTGACAGATCGCACAATGTCAATCTCAGAGTGCAGAGAGTAACAAGAGGAACTATTTCTAGCAGATTCCCACAAGGATCAGTTCCTGGCCCAACATCGTTTAGTATTTTCATCACGTGTCCAAACAATGATGTAAAATCAATCCCAAGATGGTTGGGGTGGGAGCACTTGCCGTGTGAGAAGAGGCTGAGGGATGTGGGCTTGTTCAGTCGAGAGAGGGAGAGTGAGTGAACATGTGCTTGAGTACAGGGCAGCGAGCAGGAGCCGGCCAGGAGCTGGGGGGAGGCTGCCACGAGGACAGAGCCAGGCTCTTTACACGGGTGTATGGCACGAGAGGGAGCTATGATGGTCAGAAATTGAAGCAGAGATATAGAGATATATAAAAAGAATTTATTATGTGATAGCCAGGCAAAGGATCAGGATGGCCAGATGGGAGGCAAAATCTTCACCCTTGGAGGTTTTTAGCATCAGACAGGACAAAGCCACAAACGAGCTTTTCTGAACTCTATTTTGCCCCTGTTTTGAACAAATGTTTGGATGAACTGACCTCTCAAGGTCCTTCCTTTTATGACATGTTATGACTGTAATTTGGTTGATCATGCCTGGGGAAAGTCTTGGGGATCCAGTCAGATAACTGCTTCAACATGTGCAGTAGGACAATGCCACAGGGAAAAGCAGTGGCTGGATGCCACTGCCGAGCCTATTCTGGGAGAAGCCAACATTCCAGATACCACGTCCGGACTTGAACGACAATAGGAACCCAGGAGAGAATTCAGAGAGCACTGCAAAAGTGATATCAAGGCTGAAGTCTTTGGCTGTGATGTTCTCCAGAGATGTTATTTGGCCACTCAGCAGCACTGCATGGAAATGGGCCCTTGTTGCGGGGTGGAATGGGAGCGGGCAGTCACGAGTGACCACGGCCTCCTCACAAGCAGCCCGTGGGCTCCGGCTCCACTGGCACAGGGAGCTGTCCTGCATCTCCTCAGCTACCAGCCTGGCTCCATCAGCCAGTAGACAGGAGGGCAGGCAGGACTTCAATTTTTTTCTGCTCCAACAAAGAACAGTCCAGTCCATGCGAGGCAGCATTTCAGACAGCTATTTGTACCACACCTCACATGTATGTAGCAAGAGGGCACGGTACTACTGGGAGTGAGCAGTCCTTCCAACTTTCAGGTGAGGATAGAGCAAGATCCAGTAACAGGAAGTGTTAGGTTAGACAACATGAAATTTGAAATGAAACAGTGAGGGAATGTTAAAAATTGTCACATCTTACCTGCAGTGTAGCTGGACTCATCCTTGCTGCCAGTTAAACACACCAAATACGCCTTACTGCCAGCATCCAGCCACAGTAGGTGGGTGTTGCATTAGGTTAGACTATGGGTCAAAGGACCGGGATTTGCAGGTTTGCTCTCAGTGTAGGGTTAATAACTTGTCCTGTGGTTCTCTCATTTTAAGACCTTTAGATTTCCAACTGGCTTGAGGTAGTTGATAAGCTTGAATGGCAGAAACCTTTCACACAACACCCCAGCAGTGCCAGCAAGTCCTTTTGCAACAGCTGAGGGAATATTCTGTTCACATGAAGAGAAGATTATCAGAGGAGAGCTGGGCAAGCTGGCCCTTGAATTAGGCTGCTGGCTATGAAGGCCAAGCACCCGGTGGATAAATCCAGGACCGGGTAACACATAGGAGTGTGTTTGACTGCACTTGCTTCCTACCGAGAACACGTAGGGAGAGGCACTCAGATTCGTGTGCATCACATGAATGCCATCAGGGAAAAACTCAAGGCCTGTGCTGCATTTAAATCCTTTGTTTTTGAATATAAATCACAGATTTTTTTCTATTACGTGAAAATCCTAATGCCCTGATGTCATTCAGGGCGGGTATTTTTAAGCCCTATAGTGAGTGATGCAACTATCAACTCATTGCTATTTTGGGATTTGACATGGGAGGACTCTTCTGTCCAGAAACCTGCCAGACTATGAGACTTTACATCTTTTATAATAGGTGATTTGAACCAATGGAATCTATAGCCACATCCTGCTGTTAATAATTTCTTATATTCTAATTTTGCAGTTAACACTGACTTGACATTCTTAAGTGAAATTCTTTTTTTTCTCCCCCTCAAAGAGACAACGTGTTTAGCAACTTTTATCAAAAAAAAAAAAAAAAAAAAGAAAGAAAAGAAAAAAAGAAAAAATCCCAGCCCACTGAAGTCTCTGGGATGTTTTAAGGAACTCTCATAATACTTCCCTGTTCGTTTTAGAAAAAGAACTACACACAGATAGATATCAATGTGTTGATCAAGTTAAGGCATGAGTGACATAATTTGTGTCATATTTAGCTAATACAGCTGCTTTGCAACAATAAATATCAAGGGTTTATTTGTCAGGCAAATAAAAATGCTTCCTGCCTTTCAGGGGAGGGAGGAAAAAAAAAAAAGGGTAAAGTAGTAGACAAAAAAAATACAGCTCCTGCTATGCACTGATTGCCTGCTGTTGTGTGTGCCTGTACTGAAGGTTCACTGGATGCTCGGATGTACAAAGGGATAAACAAGAGAGCTCCCAAATCCAGGGGGAATAAGCTTTGGGTTATGACTTCTTCAATGTACCTTAGGAAGGTACTACCCGGGCTGCACATGCCTGGAACATAGTTTGCTGGATTAATACCCTCTCAAGTGCATCATCACTTCTCAGCAACAGATTTTTTCACACCTTTACTTATTTAGCAGCAGGAGATGGACAGAGACAGCCAGGCACAAAGGCACCGCAAAGGGCACCGTCTTGGAGGGCAAGGACAGAGCCAAGGGCAGCGTTCTGGAAAATGTAAGATAGCCAAGTATGGCAATGACAGCACTGAAAATATGCTGGTTATGCACTTCACAGGAGGCAGCAATCCTACTTGTAGCAAACATAACACCTCCATTCTACCATCAGCTTCTTATAAAATTAAGAGACTCTGCACAATTTAAACAACTTCTGCTCGGGCAGGAGGGAACGTGATGTGCCCTGCAGTTTCTCCTCAGCCGGGCTGAGCCTGCGGGGCTCCTGCTCCTGTGTGCAAGCTTTCCGGTGACAATACCCAGCCCTTGGCTCTGCCCTTACCCTTTAGCAGACTGGCCGCTCTCCTTCCGATTCCCATTACACATCTCCCCCTGACTGTCTGCTCTTACTGACTTAACGGAGATATGAGGAGTCACTTGTTGAAAGGTGATCAAGTTGCTACAGTCCAGCACAAGCTCACTATACTACTTTGGCCTTAGCAATAGCAATAATGACTTGAGTTAGAATCTTAGCTAATATGAATGTGTATATTTTAACTGATGTTGGTAAGGTTGCCTTGGCTTAAATGGTATTTAAATCAAAAGCACTTACCCACTGCAAAGCTGGTCTGGGCTCAGTTTATGAACCATTTGCAGAGAAAGCTCTCTCTCTCTCTCTCTCAAAAAAAAAAAAAAAAAAAGAAAAAAAAAAGAAAAAAAAGGCATAAAAAGGGACAAGTAGAGTTAAAGTAAGGCTAAAGCATAATGGGGCCCGAGATTGTTGGCAGCTTCTTCAACAGTTTTTGTTTCTAAAGCAACCTGATAGCCAGCCCTGCACTTCCCTTCCCACATCAGTTCTCTGCGGTAACCAGTTTCCCCGAAATGAGAAGTGGTCTTTGCAGCTTTACTATTAGTACAGGGGGTGTCAAGACAACCTCCTAGATAAGAAAGGAGCCACAGAGTGAAACAGTCTGAAATCACCTGTTACTGCACGCTTGTAAACAAGGAAAAGCCAAACAGAGCCTGTTATCACAGCCACATACAGCAGGGGTCAAAACTTCTGTGGAAAAAAACCCTGCAGTGTGATTGAGGACATACCACTGTGGGGGCACTGATATGCTGGCTGTACTTTGGTTTAGAAAAAAATGTTCTGAAAGGTTCTCTTGCTGCCACATACTCTATTTTAGCTCTAGGACTCACCCTGTAATGTCATACATATTCTGAGTAGTAAAGGAACCACCTGATGTCCAGCTTCATTTCAGGGAAAGGGAGGGCATAGGTATGATGAGGTCTAGAAGACAAGTTTGGATGTACTCAAATTACTGGTAGATCAGAAGAGTAGAGACACCTTGAAAGGTCACTATCAGGAACACGGCATATCATTAATGATGCTAATGATATAAACAATCTCCCCAGATATCCAGGACTTGACTTGGTGAAGTAGTAACTGCATGTTGTACTGTGCCTCAAGCACCTGAGTTGTTGCATTGATTTCAACCAGGTGATCCAAACGCCTGAGGCCTTGAGCTTCACCACTCAGAGGCATTAAGCACTGGAGAATGAGACAACTGATTTTCCTGGCATTTATCCACCCTCTTGAATACAGGGATTAGTGGGTCTTCCGCTTATAAAATTGTATTTTGCTGTTGTTCATTAGCCTGCTCCCAGGCTATTTTGATTTGTGGCTCAAGGAAAGCTTGCCCCTCTAATCCTAGGACTTAAAAGCTCCTTATTGCTCAAGACTAAGCGAACATTTGTACATATCTGCCTCTGTTCGGTCTCACCATCAGAAACTAACAGATCATATTTGTGCTTCTATTCTCCCATGTTCCGAAGGGAAACATTGCCTAAGAAAACACACAAAAAAACATTGTTTTGTTAGTCAATATTTTCTTATAAAAAAAAAAAAGCATAAGAGGCTTAATTTATTATTCTGCTTATAATTACTGACAACATCCCAGAAAAATGCAGAGCTCGCTGTTTTAAGATCTTTCACTGATTGTAACTTAGCATGTCATAGGCCCTTTTAGCACCGGAGACATCATTCTGCCTCAGTAATCCCTTTGGAGAATTCCTTCCAACGAATATAGGAGAGTGCCATCACGATGAGAAAAACCCTTTCCCCTCAAACTGTTTACCATCCGAGAATAAACAGCAATGAGAAGAATGGCTTCCCAAAAAAAACATAAAGGGTCATCATCCGCTTATCAGGAAATTTAAACACTAAGGGTATTGTCCATAAGCAAACCCCCTTTCCTGGGTATTCCAGTCAGCTGAAAGTCACTAAAAAAAAGAAAAAAAAAAAAAAAAAAAAAGGCAGTTCTCAGGCACTGTATCCCCAGGCAGCTGTCCTAGTGGGCAGCGGGGCCGGCGTGGCTGAGCCGTGCGCTCACTGCCCAAGGAGCCCTGAGCTCACATTTCGCTGCGATTCTCACACACGGGGCGGGGAGATGGGGAGGCCGGTCCGTCCCCCCCGCGACACCAGATCTGGCTGGTTAACACGTCTGGAATGAGCGCGGACCTACCTCCCGGCTGGCAGAGCCCGCCGGCATACTCGCATTCCCAGCTTGGAAGATTATCTCATTCAAGGCAAGTTCTCCCGAAGATATATAAGCGAAGCTGGCGTGGCGGCCCCTGCAGAGCTCACCCGAGCCCTTGGGAGCTTCGGCCTCGCAGGAGCACGGCCTCGGCTGCTGGCAGACATGATGGTGATGAAGGTCGAAGAGCTGGTAGGTCCCATCTTCTCTCCTTCATGCATCATTACTTTTCCTTCTGTATTATCAGTCAGAGAGAGACAACCTTTGGAGATCGTTGAGGGGATTCAGGGGGTGACCATCAGTGCTGTGCTCTAGGTACAAAGCTGTATGTGTTATATGCTATGCTAAAATGTTCTTGTTTTAACCTTCCCTGCAAAGGGGACTCGCCACTGATACCACTGCAGAGCTGTGAGGGTTTTGCATCACCAGGAGGAACAGACTAACCCAAATGCAGCCGTGCATTTTCTTTTGAGTTTGATTTAGAGTTTTCTTTTCTTAAAGCTATTCACACAAAGTAATTCCAGCCCAGTAAGGGATTAAGAAGAAGTATCAATACAGGGAAAACAACCTTTTTTCTTTCCACTTATAAACCAGCATCATGCATTACTAACAGGTCCTGCATTCTGTTTTTCACAGTATAACAGACCTTCGAAAAACAACATCTACATGGAATCAGGGACGGGGCACCCTGTTGTAGGTTTCAGACAAAGTATTCTTGATTTGGCCAGCAGAAAGGGGCAAGCCACTACAACACTGATATGTTATAAGGAAACTCATTGTGCTTCCAGATGAATAAATTAAAATGAAACTGCCATAAAACCTAACTATTTAACACTGTCTTAAATCCTTCGGCAAGGCCCTGCCAGTTTCTCTAGTGTTAAGCTTTGAGAAATTTTAACAACGGTGATTGAATGAAAAGTCGGTTTAGATCATAAAAATTCACTGAATCACTCTCAAAACATGCCACAGCCTCCACTAAGCTTAACATGTGGTCTTTTTGATCAGATTTAAGCATATTTCCAAAACTTGCTCAAAACCTTCAACAAACCAACCAAGCCCCCTACAGCCTGTGCACCGGAACCACTTCATGCTACCAACTTGCTAACTGCTATAAATGGGGACCTTGGTATTGACAGCTAGAGTGAGATCAGCCTTGAAATTGCTCAGCAAGCTGATGTAGTTTGCTCCGTGTGCCCCTGTATGTGCAAGGTCCCAAGGGGGTGGCCTCTCCCCTCTGCTTGCTCAGGGTGGCTAGTCCCTCGCGGGGTCTCTATCCAAACCCCAGGATGCCAATGAGGGGGTTGCTCTGTGGGGGTAGAGGGGCTCCCTGCCACTGAAACTGTTCTATCTGCTCAGGTGCCGTTAAGCCAGGCCCAGGCCCTGCACTCTGCCTACCACACGAGCGGGACACTTGCAGCAAGGACGCGCAATCAGCTGCTGGTAACCGGTGGCCCCGGAGGTGGCCACTTCAGTCACGGAACTGCGTATTTTATATAAACCCCATTTGCTTCTGCAGGTGACGGGGAAGAAAACTGATGATAAAGAGACTGGCAGTTTCCTCCCTGAGGACTTCAGAAATGGAGAGTACGAAGCTGCTGTAAGGTTAGAGAAGCAGGAGGATCTAAAGACAGTCTCTGAGCTGACCCGAGGAGAACTGGCCTATGAGCAGGAGAAAAAGCTAGAGGCAGAGGTAAGCTCCCAGGGCTGGCGCTCCTAACACGTGTAACATTTTACATCCTTAGTGAATTAAGAACCAGCTGGCCTCAGAACTCAAAGCAATACGAGAATGAAAAGGTTTAACTAGGAGGGGAAATGAGACAACACAGATGTCAGCAACCTGATGTTAGCAGCAACCCATACTGACTCCATGCAGTGAGGGTTTTTTCAAACAGGCTTGAAGAAGTCTTGAACATTTACCAAACTGCCCTCCCAAGGACATTGGAGACAATCCCAAAATGTAACATCTTCCCAACAAAATGCTAAAAATCAGGATAAACTTTACAATTCACTTAACTATTTTTTTTTCATTAAAGAGGATTAATCAGGCAGACTAAAACCTAAAAGTGGAAGCTTGATAGAAACCATTAAAACTATCCTCATGAGTTGATCATAAGATTTCTTAAATTGTTGATCCAGAAGGGACTGTGGTGCTGCTCCAGCTCATGACACGACCAGAAAAAAATAGGTTATCCATCCAATAACATACATCTGGAGAGAGAGAGAGTGGACGACAGTATACAAAAAACTAAAGATGGTATAGCTTTTCTTACTCCCTTGGTAAAATACTATAATGCTTAATGAGCCCCCGCTGTTAAAAATAGGCATCTTAATTCAAAGTTCATCCAGTCTTAGCCCAGTGGAATTTAGCTGAAGAATAGCATGCCCTGTCCTACTGTCTTACGTGTTTACCTGCTGCTCAACTTGCTGCCTCTCCTGCTCTGTTTCAGCTCAAGAAGAAAAAATTACAGGAGAGGCCAAAACTTGAGAACTTGGAAGATCTTGAAAAAATTATTCAGCTGAGGAAGAAGAAAAAGTGCAAGAAAGTGAAAGTGCCTGTTTTAAAGGAACGCGAACCAGAAGTTATTGTAAGTGCTTTTATGAAGTGATCTCCTCAGCAATAGGGCCAATGGGTTTTGCACTGCTGTGGGGCTGCCACATGCGTTTATGTCCTGCATATTTCTCTCCAGCAGACAGGACCAGTGGATATACCTACCTTCTTCAGGGCTGCGCTGGAGAACAAGCTGCCAGTCATCGAGAAATACTTGTCAGACAAAGGGGATCCGGACGTCTGCGATGAGGTGCGATATTTCTTCTTACTTCAAAGCCTGATGTAGAAGAGAGATTATTGGAGGGCAAAAATAACTTCTACCACAAGGTTTTGTAGTTTCCACATTTTTGAGGCAAAGAAAAGGGGGCAGGAGGGGAGTTCGGTGTAAGAAAGTAAACTCAGGAGTTTGATGTACTGCTTTTTCCAGTAATAAAGGGGCCACTGGGTTCCTTCTGAGTAATGTTATCACTAAAGATCCTTCATATTTAAAAGAAAGAGGCTGGGGACTGGGAGACCCTGCTTCCCATAACAGTGGTCTTCCAGTGCTACAGATGGGAGAGATAAGGATTATTTTTTGTGCAGAACTCCAAAGGAGCAAAGCTGCCTGCTTCGTGCCACACAGTGCACAGGCTGCACTGGCAAAAGGCAGCACGCGTTGTTAGATGGAGGACATGCACAACAGGCATGATTTTAAATTTCGATGTCATACTGCAGCTATTCCTCATGTCATTTAAAATGCTGGGTAGGCAGCATTCTACTATTAGGGTGCTATTAAAATTTAGCAGATTTCAGGTCTCCAAAGTATTAGCTCTGGAAAATGAATCAGCATAATATATGCGTGTTTGCCATCACCCTAGGTAGATTTAAAGAGAGCTTTTTGGTGCCACACTGAATACCTGGCTTTGCACTATTCTAATTGACAGTACAAGCGCACAGCGCTGCACAGGGCATGCTCCGAAGGACACCTAGAGGTGGTGAAAAAGTTGGTGGAAGCTGGAGCCCAACTCGAACTGCAAGATATGGTATGTATATCCACTTGCATTTCTTTCAAAAATCCGTTTGTTTCCCACCTCTGCCAAAAAGTGCATGTAACAGGGAAGAACATCAAAAGGCTGCTGCTAACTAAAATGTCTACTAAGTTTAGCCTTAAAATAATCCTGTAGAGAAGAGGTTTCGGGGCGGGGGAGGTCTACCTCACTTTCCCGAAGTGGCTGTGGGATCATCGAGGAAGCGGAGGAGCAGATCGGCCCGGGCACGGCCACGATGGCCCAGGAAGGACAGGAGCGCTGAGGCCAGGCTGGCGCTGACGCCCGCAGCAGCCGGCGCTGTCCCACACCTCCCTCAGGAGCTCAGTGCTGTTCCTGGGGTGCCTTGGGATTTCAGCACTCAGCTCAGGAGAGACCCCTTCCCTACAGAAATGCTGGCTGTGGCAGTGCTAAACGCCAACAGCTTTCGCAGCTCTTCCCGTGCTTCCCTACTCCCAGCATGTCGTCCCTTTGCTGCCCACTTGGAAGCAGCCGGCCTCATTCCCACCTGCTTAACCCTGCAGCGTGAGAACATGAGGGATGATGAGCAGGGCAGGATCTGCAAGGGGAGTTCCACCCTTTGCAGCAGAGCTCAGGGGAGAGAAATCAAGCACTGGGAGCCTCAGAGTTTGAGGAGAACTATTCTTGTCCTTTGTTGTCATCTTCTTTGTGCTTTGGAATCCAAAAGGCATCAAATGAAAATAACAGATATAAAATAGCATGTATCCACCATAAAAATCATATCTGGCTGTCCAAAAACGACTTCTTAGTCACAGATTTCACACAGAATTCACCCTTTCTCACATCTAGGACTCTGTCTTTAAGAGCAATATGCAGTGACTGACTGTGATAAGTGAGAAACTAGCAGTACTAAAGGAATTAGGGCAAAAAAGAAAAGCTGTTACTAGAAACAACCCAATGATCACAGTAAAGTACTTCTACTTCAGGTTAAACGACACAAAAATGATTTTGCATTCATTTAGAGACACAATCAGCATTGCTAGCTTTGTTCATTTTTATAAAGGTGAATTAAATTACCTTCCATTTGTTCTTCCTGGTGCAGCTGGAATCCACAGCCCTGCACTGGGCATGCCGGGGCGGCAACCTGGACGTTCTGAAATTCCTGCTGGACAAGGGAATAAACAGAAACGCCAGAGACAAGGTAGGCCCCTTTGGGACTCGGTAGCTTAAGCTGGAGACAAGAAGCTCCTGAAGGGGCTGGGTTTTGGTTTGCCTGTGCTGTGCCACTGAGTGCTCCCTTGCCCCCGTTCCGCAGCTGCTCAGCACCCCTCTGCACGTGGCTGTGCGAACGGGCCAGTACGAGTGTGGGGAGCACCTCATCGCCTGCGAGGCCGACCTCAACGCCAGGGACAGGGTAAGCAGCAGCAGGGCCTGGCAGCCCCACGGGGACCCCAAGCCGAGAGATGCCCCCACAGCCGGGCCGCGCTGACCACGCTCCCGTCTCCCCCGTGCAGGAAGGGGACACTCCGATGCACGACGCCGTGAGGCTGAACCGCTACAAAATGGTCAGACTCCTGATCCTTTACGGAGCGGACCTAACCATAAAGAATCACGTAAGCAATAGCACAGTATACTGGAAAGCAAAGTGCTCGGGAAAGTCACCCTTCAGAGCAGTATTGTAGGCTTGAAGACTAGGAGAGATTATTGCAAAGCAGCTCCCTGAGACTGCTTCTAACTAAATTAAAGTGGAAATGACAGAGAGAGAAAGCACAGCCCAGGGAGGGCAGCCAGAGGCAGCAAAATGGTACCTGTCCTAAACCCTAAACTGGCTGTGATTTAAAACAGCATCACATTGTACTAATTTAATTGCACACATAAGATATTGAAAAGCTGTAAACACAGACACTTGCTCCTTGAGCAATCACTGGGCTTCAGTTACTTCTGAGACAACAAAGATCTTCACTTGCCCCAGAAAACTCCCCTCTGCCAGCCCAACAAGCCCACAGCTGATGCTAAGCCCAAGCTCTGCAGGCTAGATGCCTGGTTAACCATTAGTCTGATTGCTGGGCAATAAACCACCTGCATCAGCAGGGTTTCCATGCACGAAGCTCAGCACCTGACATTGCTCACGACCATTTCACCCACAGCAGCTGCCAGAGCTCAGCCACCGCCTGCAAAAATAAGACACATCTCTGTCCCCATCACCCCAAATCCAATCAAAACATTTGTGGGACAGATGGTGACATTTACTCATTCACAAGAAACACTGACTAGCATAAAAAACAATGCAGGCAAGGAAGAAACTAGTGGCTATGACACTTTATGCTCTCCCTACTCACTGCCCAAGCCCCTAATGTGAGGGTGCTCCCAGCAGTAGCTTGTGGGGTATTTGGGACATGGATGTGGAATAAAAGCCACAGCCCCAAAGACCTAGGAGCTGCTCGCAGGCTCCTGCGACATGAAAGTTGCTCCTGCTTAATTTATATGTCATTCATAAGCTACTTATTTAGACCAGTACAAAGTCTTATCTGAATTCTCAATTGCACAAACAAGTGGTTTATTGAGATTTCATCTAAATGTACGTCGAGCCTGTTCAGATTGGATTGGGATAAACACACACAGCCTCTGCTATTCAGGGTACCTGCTAGCAACGTGGCTTAAACCCACTGAGATGCAAGGCAATTTCATTGCTGCCCTGAGCAGGAGGAGGAGCCTGGGCTCACACAGGGGCACTGTGACCGTGGGCACATGCAGTGGTCCCATAGGGGACAAGTGTGCAGTGCAAAGATTTAAGAATGAGTAAAGCCCGGTTCACTGGCTGAAACTAAATCTTGCTTCCTCTGGCCCTTCAACCAGGAAGGGAAAACCCCCATGGACCTCGTGCTTCAGTGGCAGAATGGCACCAAAGAGATATTCAACAGCCTGAAAGACAATTCCTACAAAAGCACACAGCTGAACAAGTTCTGAGGATAGAAGATGGCTTTCTGTTGCTTTTAAATGCTCCTTACCAGCCATGACGACTTTTTTTTTTTTTTTTTATTGAAGATATTTATGGCACCAGACAATAAGATACTTTCATTGAAAAAACAGCAAAACAAAGATGCAGAGAAATTATTTAAAAATGCAGGTTGAGTGTTAAAATTCCATTTAAAATGGCTTTATTTATTCCTATTTATTATTTATTTATTTAAAAATTAATTTTTAATGTTTTTTTACTGTTCTAACTAATATTTGTCAGCAAATTATATCCTTTTTGTCTTAGATGGCAATATTTTGAACTACTTTAGCAGTTTCCCTCTGGTCTTCTAATAGCTCTAAATAGCCAATACCTGTAACTGCTGCCTTGTCTCTGATGAATTCTCACTATTAAAATGTTAAATGACTGGCAATATGTGGATGAGATCAGATAGCAAGGGAGGAAGGTCCACTAAGATGCCAAGTGGATTTAAAGAAGCAGTTGAGCAAGGAGGTTTGCAGATAGTTTACCAGTCTTGTGATAAAGGGCTCAAGGACAGAGGTCCTTACATGAATTTTGGACTGTCAGATTCAAATGCGACGTTATGAACGTGAGAGAAGATAGGATCAGGATGTGAAGCTCCTAAAGCTGGCCTGTCATGAAGCCTGAAAACTGAATAATGCAGAAACAGATGATGTATATTTGTAAATTTGTACTGCTTTTTCTGTACATTTTGTACTGATCTCCTCAGTTTAAATAAAGAGTGGTTCTTTGTACCACTTGGAGTGTGCTATGTGGCGCGGAGCACACGCAGGGAAGCTCTGCCTCTCCTTACGGTGCACATCTTGACCTCCAAGACACACAGCACCATCTGCTTAGAGCTGCCAGCACTTGAGCTGCTTCCCTGACACTGTTAGGTAAACGCCTCTTCTTACTTTGTATTAAATAGAAACACATGAAGAAAAGCAGAAAGCCAGTACTTGAGTAGCTAGTAAAATGAAAAGTTGCAGTTGTAATACTGAGCTTGATTTAAAGCCTTGGTTTCTCAGCAAATTAGTACTTACAGTGAGGCACACACGCAGAGAGCTTCAGCTACCCCAGCAAGGGACCCCTCTGCTCGTTCCCACCTCACCACTTGTTTCTGCAGTTCCTCGGACACCAGGAAGGCACCTTGCGGGACACGGACACGGCCTCGGCGACCTCGCTTAGTCCCCACAGAGCCCGTTCACTTGCTCAGGCACCAGAGGGGCTGCAACAGCAAAATGCTTCAGGGAACCGGGGCAAAAGAGACATTTCACCCGGTTCCTGATGCGGTTTATCTGCTTACAGGGCAAATACATAGACTGTAAATTTTAAAACCAAGGTCAAACAAGCAACAAGTAGGATGTCTGGATTTCAAAACTCTATAGTTGTTAAACAATTTCTCTTTTGCTCAAGGTAGGCTATTCTCTGGCCAAGGCAAGATAACACGTTATTCACATAACTGCACCGGACACATTTCAGCTTCTGCTCTATTTTGCTAAAACCTCATTTGGGAGGCAAGTCCATAAGCGAAATTACCATATACATTTTATACTCTACTCCTGGTGATAAAACATGATTCAAATCATGAAGTCAACAAGTAAAAGAGCAACATGAAGGGCAAATATTTCATTATTTTTTGGTTAAAGCAAAAGCTGTTGCAACTTATATCCAGATTGTCATAGAAGTGTTAGTTTACCGAGAACTCCTTTCATTTTCCTTTGTCCAGTCACTAGAAAAAGTTCAGAGATGACACTGCAAGATTTTTGCAGTATTTTACATACAATAGCAGTTTGGTGTCAGATGCAGATGAAGGACTAGAGTATTCACATCAAAGCTGGCTCAGGGACCTATTACAGTATCATACATATTTGTTTTATATATTGGTTTATCAAAAGAAAAAAAATAGAAGCTTCAGTCACCATTTGGAAGAGCTCTAAAAATGCTCTGCTGATTATAGATCTGTTACAATTGCTTTTTTTGGCAGCCAGATTAGATTTACTGAGGCAGTAACAGGAAGGAAGAAGGAAAGAGAGGAAAGGAGATAGGAGAGGGGAAAGGAAGGGCTGGGGTGGCCAGGGAGACACTCTTGCAGGCACCGCTGCCTGAGCGGGACAGCAGAAGGAAATGATGTGGCAAGAATCGTGACGTGGTGACTGCTCAGGCCCAGCTGAGACAGCTGTTAGGCTCAGCTGCAGCTTAGAGCCGAGCACAGGATTGGGGCAGCCTCGGGCTCTTCCCTTCCACCTGCCGCAACTGCCCCACATCACAGTGTGAAGAGCCTCAGGCCTCCGTGTGCAGCAGGTCTCGCAGGCCAGGTCAGTCAGTGCTTCTGTAACACAAACCCAAGGTGTCTCCTAACAAGTGACGGATGCTGGGCTCTTCTTTACAGCCCCTGATCACAAACACAACGGGGAGCATGTTTTTTTCCCTACACATTTATTCCTCACAGACCACTGAAGAGAACTTGACCTAGTCACTTGCAGTTGTAAGGCTTAGTACAGAGATGTGTTCTAAAACTTGAGAGGCCATAAGAACTAGACCTTAAATGGATATGTTCTTGCGAATACTTTTAATTAAAAAAAGACTGCACCTGTACAACTGAAAATTCCCACACATTCGAAATGCTGTGTGGAGTTTGCACTAACTCCAGAAGAGCTGGGGCAGGGCGGAGAGCAGCTACCCTGGCCCTGGCCAGAAGCACAGGATCACCCTTCAGGTGTGACAACTATTCAGCCGCCCTGTCATCCCCACAGCTCTCTCGCTTGACCACAAGAACAATTCTCCCCTGGAGCACATCAAGCAGCAAGTGAGGAACTGAGCTGGCTGGAGGGCAGAAGGAAGACACAGCACTGGGCAAAGATGGTACGGACATCCCTGCTAACAGCAGATTTGGTTCCTCAAGCTTGAGTCTTGGCTTTTTTGCAGGCTGGCACTGTTGTTTCTTCCTCCTCAACTTTGCGAGGCTTCTTCACAGTGTACACCACCCCACAGGCACTCTTCCGCGTTTCTGGAATATACAAGCACCTCGGATAGGATCACGCTCACGCATTCAATGCTCAATCACCCAGCCCATGGACGGGCCCTCCCGATACTGCTTTATTTCACAGCCCACACCAGTGCAATACAGTTGATCTGACTTAAACATGCTAAATCAAACTGGTAGCCTGTTTAGTGGTGAGCGTTTTTGGTTGAAGTGCCTTTGCTAAACACCCTGCTAAAGGATCCTGCTTTTTACCTTTCCAGTCTCAACTGTCAGCAAGGGGCTCACAGCAGCCATTGTCAGCAGGTACTCCAGCAAAGTCAGGCTTTATTGTATTGGCAATAGGGAGTATCAGTTATTTCAGGAACTACAAGTTAAAACACAAATAACCACCACCCTGAAAACCAAAAAACTACCATGATTTTTCATATCTAGCATATGCACATAGAACTTCTGAAGCCACTAATGCTTTACACTAGACTACTGATTAAAGTCTAAAATCAGTCAGATGGGTCTCCAATTACTACTTTAGTCTTGCAGGCAAAAAAACACAGCACGTGTTGTTTCACACTAACCAGAAATACTGTTGCAGCACAAAGTGTAAATAATCCTTAAAACTAATTTCTGCCTTTCATCCCTACCCTTTCACTGCTGCATGTATGGGTAAGATGGAGCAACTGCAGCAGGGATCAGTAAGAAGAGGGATGGTTGGTATGGATGCAGGGGGTTGGGAAGCAAGAAAGGACTGGGCCTTCACACTTCTTGAAGCTGGTGATGTTTTCACTACGCAGTGTAACAGGCAGACCTGGGTTTTGGCCAATGGTTTATGAGGGTTTAATATCGTTAGTGAGTATTCCAGCACAGGCAGCAGGATTGGTTCAGACACTGATTTGCTAACATAGCAACAAAGCAAAAAACAAACAAACAAAAAAAAAACCACACACAAGGTGTGTTTCTGTACAAGCTCCTCTTCATGACTTGGACAAAAATCCAAAGCTGAATTACTCTATAAGGTCTCAAACTTTCTAAAAAATATGCATCAATACAGACTTAGCTGAAAAAAAAAATGCAATTACTGCTTAGAGAGAGGAGTTCACACGTGCTTTTCACTTACCTCCATGCAGCAGGGTGGCTCTGCAGTTGGTAGACACGGCCGCCTTGGCATCTCTTTCTGACATGCCAAAGAGCAAAGCTCTGTCACCTTCGGTCAGGATCAAAACGTGCAGAAAGGAGCAAGCAGACTAAGGCAGTCTGTCTGTAGGACAAGTTTGCTTATTCAAGACATAACTGCAAATTAGCAAAGCTGCAGATCAGAGCGACATTTTGCGTAAGGTTACCCAGAGATTGAGAACTGAAGTACCCAATTCTCCTCTAGAAGTTCTAGAAGTTTCCTAGCACACCCCAGAAGGCTCTCATGAATGCTGCTTTTTTATTCAGACAGGTAACTGTCATTTTGAAAATAAAAGACTGTTGACATAAGTACATTTCTTACATGTATCAAGTAAAAAATGATCCCACTGAAAATTTCAGTTTTGTAGGAAAGAGTGCTTGCAGACACAGAAACACTGCAGAAAAAATCCCAACCGCCTCGTATAGGGATGACATCAAAAGCAGGTAGGTTAATTTGGGCTGAGCCTGACTGCTGTTTTCAAGAGGGGAGGAAACTTTGTGCATTGTTCTTCCGGCCACGCTCCCTCCCACACAGTTCTCACGAAGCAAAGTGTGATCCTGCCCCTGGGGACAGCCCCGCAGGGCTTGCTCAGGCTCGCGGCAAGGCCGAGGAGAAGGGCACGTAAAAACTCTTCAAGGGGGAAGCAAGGACACTCTTCTGAGTTTCTAGAACACATGCCCTGACTGAACAGCGTCACACAGCTGAGGACTGAGAATTAAGAACAGAAGGAACTAGCATTAAGCAAATAAGAACTTCTCTTTCTTAATATAGACATGCTTTTTTACATATACACACGTATGTATATACATACAGATATAGACAGATACCTTTCTTGCGACAAAAGACATGACACCTTGGAGATCATGATTAATGAGTCATAGTTTGGTCCAGTGTGTCTGTATTTTTATCCTATTTAAAGACCTGTGATTATGACTGTTACTCATTCCTGCACTTACACCCCCACCAGTGTCAAGACGTGTACCTGTACTCAGACGCTGCTATTTACGGTGCCTGCTGATGCTACTGCATGGCCAAGAGCTGCTGCTGCTCCCGTGCCCACTCAGAGCCCTGGTTCTAGCTATGAGTCAGCAACCAGCATCACTGTGTACAAGGGGCATCAAGGATGCAAGTATTTCAAAACCCATCTGAGATTCTACATGTTACTATTAATTGCTGCCTTCAGCTTGGATAAAGGATACAGATTAGCCACGTCGTAAGGACCTCGTAGCTCTAGAGGCTGAAACAGAACAAAGAAGGTTGGATGCACACGCGCACTTGCCCAAAGGCTGGCACAGTGCAGAAAACAAGACAAAAAGAAAATGCACCAGGAACAAACAAACAAAAAAATCCCCATCTGGGAGAAAACTGCCATGGAATATACAAGGACAACAACAAAAAAAGTAATTATTTGTTAAGACAGCCTCATTAAAAACAAAAGAAATATAACTTCCATCTTGTATCTAAAGTTAAAATATTCATATGTTTAATATAATTAAAGTGGTATTTTCATGTAAAAATAAATCCTCCATTTTCTTCCAATACTAACAAGAATCTGGGACTTACCCTTTCAGCTGCACTTGAAATAACAATGTTCTGGAAGACAAAAGAGAATAAACATGCATCTGTCAAACAGCACTGAGCAGTGGAAAAGCCGCAGGCAGCGAGGGCTCTGTGAGCCCTGCCTGCAGCGCAAGCTCACAGCCCAGCTGGCAGCGGGCAGCTGCTGCTGTGCCCACGTGAGGGGGCTCTGGCAGAGCTTGGCTTCCCCACACAAGCAACCTGCCCTACCTGCCTTCTCCCTGCAGCACAGGGACCGGCACGCCGGGGTTAGGATGTCCCTGCGATGGACACGGGCTGAGCGAGCAACGCGCCTCGGGCGGCCGCCGGGGTCACCTGCACCTCCGAGTGCTGCTACTAAGCACTCATGAACCTCTGCCTTTTACATTGGACTTTAAAAGGGGCTTTACATAAACAGGAAAGAAACATAGTCACACACACGGTATTAGGACACATCCTAATTTATTTACACTATCTAGAAGAGACAAAGAGCTACGGGCCCTTATTGGCCCTGAAGAGCCACAGGCCACATGACACCTGCTTGTGTGGCAAGACACACAAATGACACAACGCGACCTAAGCTGTAACAGAGATGGATTCAGGAGTGCAGCCTGAATCCCTCAAAGAGGCCTAAAGACCGTCTAGATAGCTTGGAGCTCCTGAATTTTTAGCCTACTCTCTGCAATTCAGCAAACCCCAACCCTAACCTCAGCATCCGCGTAGGACCTCCTCAACACCAGGTGAGGAAACCAGTCTGCAGTTAAGCAAGGGCAGCCAGGTCGTGCCACACACTCACTCCTCAGCCCTAGCAGCCTCCGGAGAGCCAGCGGGCAGAGCAGGGTCCTGCTCCCTCGCCCTCTCCCACAGGGCTTCTACAGAAGAGCTGCGTGACCACTCAGGGGCTTGGACACGGCAGCTCAGCTGCCAGCACTGGTCCTGGGAACCCTCCAAGGATGCTCACCCAGGGGAGGCCGTTTCACACAGACAGAAATCTCCTTCTGTGGCAAAAACAAAACCGCATCTTTTCTTCTATTGAATAAAAGACTTTGGGAATTCCCACTCGAGTGGATGGAAATGGGAACCAATATTGAGGCAAGATATCTCTGGCGTCCGTACTAACACATCCACCATCCCCCCTTGCAAGGCAGGGGCTCTCATTCCTGCCCTGCTCCGCTTGTCCTTCCACCTCCCCAGCACAAAGAGCAAAGCAGCCACTGGAAGAAGATGCTACATGCACAGCTGGAGCTGGAACCAAAGGAGCTATTTGCACAGAAACACCTACACTGCTCACACTCTGTCCAAGGTTTTCTTGCATTGTGAGGAGGAAAGGACAGGACTAGACAACTCCGCCTCACATAAGGAAAAGCATAAACTAATATATGCAAAGTAACTTAATAGCACACAACATGATGGAGATAGAACACTCCCCTCCATGTAGTTCACCTTTAAAACAACTGCCTTATGGAACCCAGGGGGGCTTTTGGGCTTCAGCAGTGCTGACTGCAAGAGCTCGTTGGGAAGATTTAAGCCTCCTGCTCTGAGCTGCAGCAGCCACTACCCATCTTCTGGCCTGGGCCATGCTCCAGAGCCAGCATGGGACAGCTCCTCACTGCTGGGGTGCCCGAGATGGGCCCTGCTGACTGCAGAGCAGCCGCCTTCCAGGCAGGGCACGGGTGAGAAGGAGACAGGAGCGGACAAGAAAAGTTCTGCTAGAGAATGAAGGAGAAACAGGCAAAGGCAAATTCACTGGGATCAGAACTTAAAGGCAAAATGCAATTTCCTCAGGTAAAGAGGAAAGCAGCTGCTCAGAACACTCTCCAGACACAGTATCCATGCTCAGTTACCAGTCCCTGCGAGGCGGCAGGACTGTGCATATACCTGTCTGTCTGGGGAGACAAACGAGTCTCCCTCACCCCATGCACACTTTACCTCAAACCAGCTCCCCAAAACAAGTTAAGCTCTGACATACCAGCAAGTTCCTGGAAGTTTCCCTGCCCTGCTACAACAAAAGAGATAAAAGACTCCAAGATAAGCTGGCAGTCCAACTTTTCTACTGCCTAACAACAAATTGTTTTGCTCAGCTCCAGGCAATTTACCTTCGAGGCATAAATGAAGTGCCAGCTCAACACTCACAGAAAGAAAGAGCACTCTGCAGAGCCCCAATATCACTTGCTGTGTTTGTGAGGTTACTGCAACTTTTGCTACTCAAGTCAACAACCGCACGTGGAACAGACCTGTAATTGCACAGAGGGATGAGGAGCAGGGCACAAAGGAACCCCAAGGGAAGGGCTTTTATGTGCCTCGCCTCCAAGTCAGCAGTCTGTGTGACTAAGAGCCAGACCCAGGCTTCTTAGCAAAGGCCATGCAAACAATTACACTTTTTACTCTGTTGCACCACGGGAATTCACCTCTCCAAAACTCTTCTCTATCCCACAAAACAGGCCTGTTCCTGCAGTATCTCCCTTTACTTCCAAACTCTGTATCCCTCTTTAGACTAGACCTGCTGGGCAGCATAAGTTTCAGCATCTCTGGACTAGCTAAGCACAGCAAAGACCTTTTCAAAACCGACAGCGGGAGCTCCGATCCCCTTTGGCTCAGTTATGAGTTACAATATTCTTCTGTTAAAAACTCGTGACCTGAGAGGATCCACAGGACAGGCAGCTTAGCCTAGGGAGAGGTAAGGTACAAAAGCAGTGGGGTATAGGCCTCCTAACTGCAAGTATCACTGCTTTCCTCAGTTTCAGTAGCAGGGAAGGATGCACTTGATCTGATTGCAGCAAAGTTCTGGCTTACAGCCAGCTAGCTGGGGGATCTGGTTTGTGTTCTGGGAATTTACTAACACTTTAATAAAACAAAACTTCTATCTCTTTTCTTGGTATTTTTTCCCTTACTCAAAGTATATACTCTCTCTCAACAAAACAGCTTTTGAACAAATAGAAAATTGAAATGCAGTCTTTTAAACAGATGCATAAATTTTAATTCCTCCTATCTCTGTGACATTTCTTTCCTCTTTTGTTTTTGGTACTGTGAATAAGGATAATGATTTGACAACTTAAGGAGAAAGTGTGCAGTGGTGCATGGCTGGAAATACCTGCTGTTGGAATTACTGCTTGCTTGTAGGAGTAGGCAAAAGTTCAGTCACAGGTACAGAAACCTCAGCATCAAACTCATTTAAAATGGCTCAGTCTGTACAACTCCAGAAGCATTTGAATTAACGACCTGGTTTCCCCTGCGAGAGCTTACCTTTCCTTTGCAGATCTGCATCAGGCTGATGGCATTTGAAATTGTGTATCTTCTCATTGTGGAGTCTTTGATGGCAGGTGCGTAAAGAAGTTCAAAGTAAATGCCTCGATCTATTGCCTTCACATGAAAGAATGTGATAAGAAAAAAAAATCACAAGGAGAGAAACATAACAATCTAGCAACTGCTGTCTACTATTGATGCAGCTTATTCTCAGTTTACATGCACTATATATGAAATAATTAAAACAGAATTGTTCTAACAGGAAAATGGCATAGCAGGAAAGTTGGAGATTTTCACTGTACACCAGATATGCACACTTGAATCTTCAGCTGTTGAGTAAATGATGCCTAACAAAGAAATGGCATCTACTTAATCACAGTGATGAGGAGAAGGATAATCACCTTTAGCCAAAACAAATCTGATATTTTGAGGATACCCTTCTCCAGCCCCAACTTTCCCCAGTATCCATGTCTTGCAAATAAAGAATTTGCCCTTGCAGAAAAGCAACAGGGAGGTCCCTCCTCTCTTCTGCCCCACAAAATAGTGTTATTTGCGACAAGTTTTGAAGAACAGTAAGCCATCAGAGAGCTTCCAAACTGTAATAGTTAATAAATTTTCATTTGCTTTAAAATCGTTTGCTACCCGTCAAAACGTGTCACAAAATCCTAGTACTGCTGCTTTTGCTAACATACAGAAATAAGCAACTTGCCATTGGATATGCAGTGGTTAGTAACAGAGACACAGTTCAAAGCTAGGAGCTCCCGGTTCCATTATATTTGGATAAACTTGCATTAAAATTGGCTCCTGCCTCTATTAAATTTGTCTGAAATATTGCTCTGTGGTTTACACTCATGTTATTAAAAGAAAAATGAGGTAGCATTAATACTGTGAGAGAGTCCAGTAATTGAACACAGATGTAATTAATGCAGCTACCACTCATGCACAAAATCCGCGTGCAGGGGGAGCAGAGGTTACAAACACATCAGATGTTTTACACAGAGCTGGTGCCACATCTTCCAACACGGGGAAAAGCCTGAATTTATCAGCAGCAGAGCGGGCAGTGACAGCACAACGACTTCAACCAGCTTCAGGGTAAGCTGGTTTTCACCCCCAGTGCTCCAGTGCCTGCCGATCTGCCCGCCTGGCACACATTTGTGAGGGAAATACCTCTAACTACAGCTCCTGGGGAGCCCCCTGACCATCCTGCTCCTCACCTGGGCCCGCTGCTGGAGCTAGGCATCTGGGGTAGTTTCAAAGGACATTTCACGCCTTTTTTTGTTTTATTATTCTAAATAATAGTATTGGAATTCTCAGTCTCTTGTAAACTCCAAAAACTTACTTCTGTTGTTTTGGGACAATTCTATTTTTTTTTTTTAATCTGTGTTAAATTTTCTCTAGAAGGGGAAATAAGATTCTAGGCAACTCTAACTTTCAATTTTTATGCTTCAAGGACTGTACCAGCCACAAATGCCTTGGAGGAAAGATATTTAACCTAAGAGAAAGCTCAACTTAAGTCTTCTGACAAACCACCAGCATCAGGCAGAGTTGTATTAAAATATTTGATCTATAATTGATGTACTGTTTTAAAAAGAACTTGTGTGCCATAGCAAATACTTAGTGATCCCACATCCAGTTAATTTCCCAAGGCATTTTTTTGTGTAAGTAAGGACTCAATACAGTTGTTTTCCAAATAACTCGCACAACACCCTTTTCCCAAATTAACATGGTCATTGACGTTCTCCTGTCTTTCCAGCAGCAGGGCTATTTATCCATTCTGAGGGCTTCGTCGCCTCTGTTTGGGGGCAGCCTGGTCAGCAACCACAGCAAGTCTCACTGCTTGGCTCAGCACATGGCTGCGGGCTCCATTCCATTTCCTGGGAATGCCACTTTTGCCTCCATAAGAAGGGGACAAGAAGGAGAAAGGAAGAGCATACATCATTGCCTATTAAACGCTTAAGTGGAAGCCTTGAAGTGAAGGACATCTAAAACAATACTAGATGTTATTCAAGACAATACAAGAACCAGTTGGATAGGAATAGTGGGAGGGAAATTGCAGGGAATTCAGCTTAGACTGACATTAAATACTGAATTTAATAGCAAGAAAACAATTTAGATGTAAATTTACCACATTCACAGGAGGCCTTCGGAAGTAGAATGGTAGCTTTTCTGTCACATTTATGCACACCAGATCCACATCCAGAGTTGTGCAAGCAATCTGCAGAAGAAAAAAAAAAGAAAGAAAACAAAAACACAGAGTAGATTATTAGATATGCAAAAAAAGGAAAGCACCAGCACCTTTAGCCTTTCAGGGTACTAATATCCTTAGTTTCCTAATACAGAGAATGCCTCTCCAGGAGTGAGTACAGTTTTAAAACAAAGAGGTACTACACATCTTGCAGGTACGCAACCAAAGAGCAGAGATACAGCTGCACAGCTTGAGCATATGCAGCATTTAAGATCTAAACCTTCCCTCATTTACAGAACTACTTTTCCAATAAAACAATCACCAACATAAAGGCAAAGCTTACTGTTTTGTTCTTACTCGCCAGAGGACAGGCAAAAGCAGCTTTAGGGAAACTAACTGGTGAGCAATGAAGGACAAGCCCTGGTCCCAAAAGGAAGAGACCAGAAATGATCCCTTCCCTTGCTGTTCTCTAATCCCAGGGGCCTGAAGGCCAGGCCTCCAACAGAGCCCCAAGCTGTGCACCCGAGGTCATGGTCTGAAAGCTGAGCTTTGAATTCCCCTGCAAGTTACACCTTTGTTAGAAGAAAGGAGGAATGAATAAAGGGTGGAGAATCACCACACTGACACATAGAGAAAATGAAGTGTACACAAAAGGGAGCTCCTGATTTACATATAATCTCAGGCACACAAGACTTGTAGGAATTATATATCCCTACCCTGTAAAGATGATTACACAGGACCAGATTAATTTCTATAAGCAGCACAGTAAGAAAGAAGATAAAGTGGGGCTGAAGATGTCCAAACGGGATTTTCTATTCGTAGGGGAGCTCTGCATTGAGAAACCTGCCAGGCAACCACTCAGCCCTTCCTGCACCAGCACCAAAGCAGATGGGCTGCAGGGCAATGCAAGGCCTGGCGGGCAGGCAGGAGGGACTGTGACTGGTTACCCTAAGGAATGGCCCTGCAAACTAGTCTTTCTGGCTTTGCAAACCAGTCTTTTACCAGTTTGTTCACAGGAAATTCAGATGCAGAGGGCAGCAGATGCCCAGCTTTGGGAATCTTTCTGAGCTGTTCACAGCATTCCCTCCTAGAGAAGAGACCCACAGCCCAGACGTGGTAAATTCAGACACAGAAAACCACAAGACTATTGTGTTTAACCAAGCCTACTAGGCCATTCTAATTAACCCCTTATCTTCATGCCTTACCTTTACCAACTCTGTCTGTTAGGGCACAATTTTGAACTATTCTAAATGCAAGTCTAACCTGATGCAAGCTTGGCCCAACTGTAGGCAGCTGTAATTCCTTATATGCTGTACAATCTAGCACACAACCTACCACCTGGACAGGCGATTCACAGAACCATACAAAGCAGACAGCTCTGAGTCACATCCTAGAAATGGTGTTGGTGAGGCCACTGGACACACAGAAAGAGGGAAAAGCCCCAAAATGAGGAAAGGAATGAAGAATGAAGATACGAAGAACACAATCTAGGAGTATACAGGCCACAGTGAACCTTCCTAAGCATGTCCAGAAATGCTAGAAAATTGCTTTCCATGTTGCAAGTTAACCATGACGGGAAGGAAGTGAACCAAACAGCAATGTTTCTGCAGGACTCCAGTGATACAAACACTTGAAAAACACCACTAAAGAAAAACAAAACTAAGAGTCACTCCTTCCCATATGGAAGAGTTCCTGAACTGCAAGTAAAGTGTGGAGAAGCCCCACTTTGAGCTGTGGCTCCTGGACAGGCCTCATGAATGAAAGGGGGGTTGCTCACCCTGCTGAAAGCATCTGATGGACAACAACGGCCTGGGGAGATGGATACACAGCCGCGGCAGCCAAACAGCAGTGCTCAGCTCTGGCTTCACTGCGGGCAAGAGCCCCATCTGGTGGGAGCTGCAGACAAACAAATTAGCTAAAGCCTTTAGCCTAAAGCTGAAGTTTACTTTGGCAAACTACTCATATGCAGACATGGACATCTGGCTTTGCAGTGCATCCTCAGAGTTAGATTTGTAGATCGTGGTGATCTGTAGATTGTGGTCTATGACCAGCAGGTGTAAGTACCCGAAGTGATCTCAGAAGTTAGAAACCTTCAAGAGTAAAATTTTCAAAAAAGTCACAGGCCCTGGTCTTCCCACCAGGTATGCAGCGCCATTCCAGCTCAAACCACAGCCCTCTCGGGAGACTTAGGTAGAAACAGGTTCTACAAGCACCTTGCAACCAAAGCGTCCCGAGCAGGTAAACGACATGGAGAATTCAAGCACATTAAGGCTTCAAGCAGAAGCCTATCAGTCCCTGGAAAGCTTCCCCGGCTCATGACAGGGAGCCCAGAATTATTTAGACCATGCTAAAGTTACATGTGCTCTAGCACATCCCCACTGGCCAAGTATTTCTTTCACAAATGAAGACTAACCCAAGCACTTAGTTTTCAATGAGAAAGAAGATGATCTTTAGGCAAGCTTGAGTTACTAACAGAAAATTGTAAAACACAGTTAACACATGATGCAAGATTTGCACCCAAGGGCTTTATTCTTAACATCAAAAGATCCATGAATTACAAGGTAAAAGGTATATGCTGAGATTCAGATGTGTGACACCACCTATGCCATTGAGGTTCTTCCTAGGGATACCTCTAAAAACTCACCAAAGTTCTCCACAGAGGCTTAGACAACACAGAAGCTTTAAACTAGAGACACAAAGACCCAAACCCGTTCAAAAGCTGAGAATACAACAAAGTCTTTCACCTTGTGCAGTTTGCAAGAAACATGCTTGAGCCTCCTTCCCAAATCAAAGTGTCACCAGCACAGGAAAAAGGAAGATGCTTCTGTGGACAGCGCACTTCCTTCCTGACAGGTCTCTCCCCTGTGAGAACGTCAGCTTAAACAGCAACTATCTGCACCAGACCACGGCCACCCTCTTCTTCATGCCAAGACAACTGTGGATGCCAAGTCAGAAAGGGAGTGAAGACCTATGTGAAACCTGCCAGACTATGGTTACTGTTCAGCTGAAAGGCAGTTCCTCAAACCAAACTGCCGTGCAGCCGAGTCACGAGCCTCACCAGCAGAGCTGAGAGCAGCACACAGACCTGCTTTAGCTTTCATGCTGACAGTAGTTTTCCAAATGCTGACAAAAATCAGGCAAATTGATCTTTTATGCTTGTTATCAGTTACAGGACAAGACATAAAAAACACCACAGAGGAAGCACACACAACTCCAATGACCAGGTAGATGTTTCATATTTTAGCAAGTCTCTTCAAGGCCTTGCACCCTACTGCAATCCTCTCAGCTTTTTCAGTTCGTGAAGCGCCCAGGGAGCGAACATTATTCCATTAACTGCCCAACATGCAGGCCTGTATAAAATGGGAAATTAAATCAAAACAAAATATGTACATGGACTAACCCAAAGCACTTAACATTATTATAGCACTGGCATTACCAGTAATTACCAGTAATGCCAGTAGTTTTACTTACATGGAACAGTTTCTCGGTCTTAGGAAATACTGCTATGATGTCATATAACCTTAAGTTTGTAGATGTTGATCGCTACAAGAGGAAGAAACCGTTAGTAATTTGACTTCTAGCAGATGCCAAAGATAAGCACTATGATTACTACCAAAATAATGAGAAGAAACCTCCTTCTCCATTTTCTAGTATTAAACCAAAGCCAATAATCATCCAGCGGGACTAACAATTTTACACAGCCTGTCTCTGCTGTGAACAACTCTCTGTGGTCGTTTTGAGACTTGTCGCATCCGCCTAGTTAAGCACTTCCAGTTTTTCCCTTAGTAAAGCAGCACTAAAATACTTAAAAAATTAATGAATAAAAAATAGAGGCTTGCTCATGGTGTCCTTATCAAGAATTCTAGATTTGTGCATTCTAGATTCAAGTCTGTATCTCTTCAAGATCACTTTACTTTCTAAAGATGCAATTTGAGAAAACCAATGCTGAGTGACCTGTTAAATTCATGAACTTCTACCTTACAAGATTTCATTATTCCACTGAGAAGAGGAAACAAAATCTGGAAAATTAATACATGAAATATATGAAATATACTTACCAAGAGATTACAGTGGGAAGGATCAGAAACGACAAGTGTTAGCCGGTTTAGGACTTTAATTTGTTTAGATGTCCCCTACAAGGAAGAAACAACAGAAAAGACCTTAAAAGCTGCAAAGCAAAAATTTACAGCGAGATTCCTCCTGTCTGCTCCAAAAGGAAAGTGGTACTTCGCTCATACCCTTGCCTATACTGATTTCCTACAAGTCTGTTTCAGGTTGATCTGTTCACAGTATCACATCTGCCCTTCAGAAGGAATTATTTAGAGCATTTTTGTGGAAAAAAGAAGTGGACTAAAAACACTAAAAATGAACAAAAAGAAAGAAAAAAAACCATTTTGTTTTGCTAATACTGTTATGGCTCCCCAGTGGTCCCCAAGTATGAGCAAGAGTAATTTCTGAATCAACACATCAGTAATTTGAAATATAGCCTTGGTCCATTATGTGAAAACCTTGTTCCAACAAATCCAAGAAGTTATTTCCAAGACTCGAGTACTTTAATTTCAAGCACCACACTGCAATTATTCAACTCCAAAAGCTTCAAAATTCACACAAAGCATTTTTTTTAAAAAATATTTCTACAATTAAAGATTGGAGCATCATCTGAAGTGAGTGTATAATTCTTCCAGTATTGGGGGTTTTAATAATTAAGCAATAGGGAAAAAAAATTAATGTGATGCACAATAATTGCATGCAACAACATGCAAAGGTAAAAAGATACCTTTCAGAATAATAAGATGTAGAGGAATGGTAAATTCACTTACTTGTACAATAGGCAAAGATGGAAACAACTCCGAAGGAGGCACTGGCTTGACAATTTCCTTAGAAGAAGGCCGAACAAAAAAAAAATATATTCAAAATGGAGCAGGATGCGTTTAGAGTGTAAATAAATCCTTGTTTCCAATTCTAAAAAGAAATTTTCTAGAAGAAAACAAAACCATTTTCCCAGGACAGTTTAGGGACTGTATTAAACGCCCACTGCAAGGCAGAAATACAGAATACAGAACTGCAGCTTTGTCGTGCACGGAGGCTGTTGTGCGCGCGCCTGCACAAGCTCTGCACAGAAAGTACCTGGGAGCACGTATTAAGTTAGGCTGGCTCAGGAAACAAAACGTATTAAGGGCAAATCCCGGCCCGTCAAAACTTACCTGTTTCTTTTCCTTACAATCGACGACGTGATTAAGCGCCACCGCCGAGTATCCCACTGGAAGAGAGAGCGCAACGTGAGGGGCTCGACGCGCGAACCCACACTGCGCGAACCACCCCCGGAACAACAAATCCCGGCGGACAAGCCCGGCGCACCGACACCCCGCAGTCGACGCTGCTGCGCACAGCGGCCTCCCGCCTTGCCGCGTGCTGCGGATTAACCCACAGCAGAGCGCGTCAAAGCCGGACACGCCGCGGCCGCTCCCCAACGGCGACCGGGGGAACCGGTCCCGGTCCCGTCCCGCCGCACTCACGCTGCGCCGCGGCCTCCAGCAGGCCCTGCAGGCTCCTCTTGTCGGCGGCAGGCGGCAGGTTGAGGTCGGCGAAGGCGGCCATGCTGGGCGGGGCGGGGCGGAGCGCGGCAGCCTGGGCCTTGTAGTGCGGCCGGCGCGCGGGCCGCCCGGCGCCGCCAGGGGGCGCCCGGCCGCGGCGCGGCGCGGCGGAGGGAGCGCGCTGCTCCCCGCGCGCCGCCTCCCGCGCCCGGCTTTCCCGGGAGGGGCCGCAGGGTGGGAAGCAAAGCGGGCGCGGGGAGGGCGCTCCCTAGGGAGCAGGAGCCGGGGGACTGTGAATCTGTGCATCCTGTCCACGTTAAGTGCACGGCACCACTGCAAACCCCGCAAGCCACACGCTGATGCCCACCAACGCCATCGCCTACGGATACAGCAGGGCATAGTTCACACACGGGCAGCAATTCTCACCACTTCTGTTCTTTTGGGGACTTAGCGCAGCCACAGACAGCAAATCTGGGTCTCTTAGGAGGTACAGGGAGTTTTCCAGCCTCTGCGAGGGCTGGGGCAGCCTTCAGGTCTCGCGCTTCAGGCTAAAAGCCGCAGGGTGTCGGACTCCACGGAGAGCTGGGAAACGGTGCTGCCACCAAGGGCACAAGGGTGATGCCCCTAGGACCGCAGTAGGTCCCTGCCTGCTTCACCTCCCCGCCGGTGCAGCCTCCGCCACACAAGCTCTAAGATCCGTGTTCATCTCTCCCAAAGAGGCCCACAGTTTGCAGGGGACCAGCAACACCAGCCGTGCCCAGCCACGCGGTTCCAGCCTTGCAGCCGGATCGGTGATCAGTCTGGAGTGACGGCAAGGGAAAAGCTACGGACAGGCTGCCCCTTGAGCAGGAGCATGGCTGGGGTGGGAGCAGCGCCCGACACCTCCCTGAGAAAGGCAGGAGAGAGGCCACCTGAGGGACAGGCTGCTCCTGCAGCGCCCTGGGGACACCTTAGCCGGCAGGACACTGCGGTGAAGGAGCTCTGCTTTGGTGGCAAGACAGTGCGGCGAAGGAGCTCTGCTTTGGTAGCAAGATATTGCAGTGAAGGAGCTCTGCTTGGTGGCAAGACACTGCGGTGAAGGAGCTCTGCTTTGGTTCATCTACGTCCACGAGGTGCTCGCCTACTAAACCAGCCAGCACTGTTTCTCAGCCAGCCTTATTTTCTGTATTACTCAGGTCTTACTACTTCGGTTTACACCAGCTGCAGCGATCTATTTAAAACAGCTTGTGGTCCTTCTTCCGTCAAGTGAGAAGCCTCTAATATGGTTCATTCGTTTGTGTTTGGGGCCCTCCTAGCCGACCAAAATTTCCCTCATCTAGATGTTCTTTCTTGGTGCATTTGGATCCCAGGGGAGTGTTTTCTGTGACTTTTGTGCAGACAAAAAGGCTCCTGAATCCATCTGATTCTTCCAAATTCTTCCAAAATGCTTTCCAAAGGGACCCTGCAGTGGCAACTAGCAGATTGTTTTGCTTTAGTTCTGCATTCAGCTCTTTTAGGGGGCTAAGATACTACCTGTCCCAGCAGCTCAGTGCCATGAATGTGACAGACACTCTAATCACGATCTCAGCTGTTCCTTCGTAAAGGTGCACGCTGAATTTTCAGGGATGGGAACACTTTCCTTGAATGATAACAGATTTTTTTTTTTTTTTTTTGCATACACTTCACCCTGTTGGTTTGCTTAATTTTCAGATGACAGCTTGTTGCAGTCAGTATTTGCTGATTCCAAAAAGGGAAGACATCATTTCACATTTATTTAAGTTGCACAGATGTGAGTATTTATTTTGACAATGAAAATAAACACAAAAGATGTGAATGGTTACCTCTCTCTTTTACTGCCGTGGAGTGGTGATGATTTATTTCCACAAAGATAAGAAAAGGCAGTAAAGAAAAACTGCAGCTGCAACAGCTTTGCTAGAAGTTGAAAAAGGGTGTTATTTGCTAAACAGTACATGCTGGGAATAAATATCAAGGTTTCAATAATACTTGTCCATAGAATTCTACCCAGACTGTGACAAAATATTCTAAACATTTTGACAACATATTTCCCCATGAGAAACATTTATCTAAGCCTCATTATTTCCAGCATCAGACCCTCACTTTATTGGTATACAAAAAGAAAGAAAAATAAGATGGAAACAAAAGTAAAGAATACAAGCCTTTTACAAAAGACAAATGAAAATGATCATTTTTGAAGATAGACTTGCTCTGACAAGGAAGGAGAAATAAAGGAGACAGAAAGGCACAACACCAAGAAAATCTTCCTGTTCATTTACCTTTTCATGCTCATATTGTGGTACCTCCCAGCCACGTACTCAAAATTGCAGTGCTTTTAAGCTTTTATATTAAGATGAGCAGAGCTGTTGTTTTGCAGCCCTAGATGTGTGGGGAAAAGGTTTGCCCCACAGGGCAATGGTGCCTGTGGTGAAGCTCCTGGTCTGCACTCCCTGGTCCCTCTGAGTCCAAGGGCTGGAGCTGGCAAAGCCCTGCGCTTTCCATAGGGCCTGGAAGCAACGAGTCCTCAGGAGGCTCAGTGACCTCCGTGCCAAAAATCCACAATTTAACACTTGTTTTTAGACGCAGAAATATTGATGGGATTGTTTTGGCCTCACTAAATTTCCTTGTGCTCATGAAAATTTATTTCAAAAGAGAGCTCTGTCTGGGTCTATCTAACCTGATGTCACTTATATAGTAGCAAAGAATTGATACCAAAGAATTGATACTGCTACACAATACAACTACAGTTCATATGAATCACAAGTGCTGCTGTAACTATGTGATTACCACTATTTTTAGAAGAGGAAAAAAAATCAAACAAAAGAGTTTGTTATTTCTGGAGGGGAAAAATCAAAGAAAATGGTTCCCTCATTCCCTCGCCTTTTCTTTTTAATTTGAAACACTTCTATATAACAAAAACGAACATTAAAGATAAGAACTGCAAATAAAGCACATTAGCAAATGTAAACCAAATCATTTACTTTCAATAGGTGCATAACAAATGATGGACTAGGGTCCATTTAGCACAGAGCCAGAGATGAAGAGATATAAGAATAGGAGCCTTTATAGCCTTTCTGCAAGTCTAAATTACCCAAAGGACAGTACTTTACTGAGCTCAGCCAGAAAATTATTTGCTGAAATTTACTGAAGTCTCACGGTAGGTAAAAACACAATATTTTGTGGGGACACAAATGTCTACTTGTAATTTTTGAATTACAAAATGGGCTCACTCAGCCATTTCTTTAATTTCTACAGACTGTCTTGGGCAGCATGTGAGCATTTTATAGAAAAGTGTCTCTCATGCAATAGGATGCACACTTCTAATTTAATGTGAGATTAGTTTTTAATCCAGGGGGATGTGACCCCACAACGAGGGGATAGCTGCGTGCCAGGGAAAGCAGCTCTCCGGACAGAGCCCAGCCCTGGGGACCGCGGTGCTGTTCGGGTGCCACAGTGAAAAGCTCCCATGGAAAGAGGTGCACAGAGCAGCTCCAGGCTGCTTCAGCTGGCCAAGGTGTTGCAGGTTTTCTCTCTAATCCTGCAAAAACCCCTTTCACTTCTCCTAGAAGATAAGATTTGAGAGTAAACACAAGGAGTAACAAATGACCTTTGAGAAAAAAAAGAAGGCAGGATATTAACCTGTAATGACTGTATGGGAATTTCAGGTACAGAACAAAAGACAAGGCTAAATTCAACCCTTTTGGGTTGAAAGGGGTAAGAGCAGTACATAAATGATCCGGCATACAATGCACTGAGTACACTTAGCGAGTCACCTTCCAGAAATATATTGAAAAGTTGTCAAGAATAATGACTGATTTAATGAACTGTGTCAACACATTTGCAGGAAGCACCAGATTATGATTTGTCCTGCCTTAGTCACATTTGAAGCAACTGAAAAATTGCTTTTATAGCTGGTATTAAACTGTACAATGTTATCAGCCTGTAAGATACAGATCTATTTTGAACAAAATTTACTCAGTTCTCCTTAGCTGTACTTCAGACATTACTTAAAAGAGAATGTACCCACACAAGCAGGGGATGGTCTCCTTTCTGCCCATTTTGCCCGAATGCTTTCACTTGTTTTGATCTACCCTTTCAAACTTCAAAATCTTTTTCTTCTTACTATTTGCTCAGTTCTGAGGGAGGGCAAAGAAAGGGCTTTATCACCCTGGGAAGCCAAGGCACCTGAAGCTCAAGGTTAAGGAACACATTCCGAGTAGTTCAACAGGGAAATCTTACGGCAGGTGGACACAAGGAGGCAACTAGCATGAAAGGGCAGGAAAATAAGTGACCTTATGGGAAAAACACATTCAACTTGGTGAGGGCTGATGAGCTGCCCAGCTATGTCTCTTGCTTCTTTTGTGAAACGTGCTTATTACATTATTCAGATAAAGATTCAGATGGAGGTGGAAGGGGAAGCAAGTACCTGAACCTGGGTGCTGCTCGCTCTGCCTCTGGATGGCCGCACTCTGCAACCTGTGGTCCTGGCTGTGCCGAGCAGTCACGTATGAGGAAAATCCCGCTTTCAAGGATCGGGTGATGCTGACAGAAGACTCATTAGAAACAGGAATTCTGTGAGGCAGATATGGAAGCCTCATTTGCTACGGATTTGTGTTGCCTGTGAGAGTCAGACACGGCTCTTCCGATGGCTGGGCACTTGCTAGGTCTTCCTAGAAAGCAGCGTGCTGCAGCTGTGCGATGTGAGCTCGTATCGCAGTCTCCGGCTGCCAGGCCACACACAGCCCTACCCTCCGGCTGGTGCCTGCTTCAGTGACACTGCTTACAGAGTCACCAGGCGCTCCCCTTGCTCAGCGGTGACTGAAGCTGGGCGACAGTCACGCTGACCAAAGCATCCCTCGGTAGCGCGATGGAGGCTGCACCTCAACATGTCCACCCGCACCTGGGCCGCTGGTCACCTCGGCTCCCGCAGAACAGCTCCTTCTGCCATCAAGGGGGCCACCTCACGGACACGTCTGTCCCTGACCGCCTCCCCGCACCAAGCCAACACCTCAGCTCGGCAGCCAGGCCTGCCCCACCATGCCGGGGGGCAGCGCCTCCTGCCCAGGTGCGGGGACCAGGCAGCCCCTGCTCTGTGAGGGGGCCCAGGACGCTCCCGCTCAGGGAGGGAGGACCAGGCGGCTCCCACTCGCAGCGGCGGGAGCGGCTCAGTGAGGGGCGGCTGGAGGCTGGGCTCGGTGAGGGGGGACCGTGGGGGCGCACACGGCCCCGGGGGGGCCCAGCCCGCCGCGGAGCGGAGCGGCCGCTGGGGCCGCTGCCCGCGCGAGGGGCGGAGCGGCGCCCGCCTCCCCGAAGCCGCCGTCGCAGCCGCGGGAGCCGCC